GAGAGACTGGTAACACAACACGTAACTGCTTTTGCAAAAAAAAAAGAAAAAAGGTTGCGGTGGGGATTTTAGGTTCTGCTGTCCTTAATTTGACATGCTTCGAGGCTTAGTTTGCCTCGTTTCTATACTCAATTCCACTTTAAGTTTTCAGCACAACCGACGCTATCGATCCGATGGAGCCAATCAAGCCGCGTAAAAAGTGCATCGTCACGCCGCTCGTCTGTGGTTTAGTCTGCGGTTGTTACCGCAAACTAAACCAAGCACGCAAAAAAAAAAAAAAAAAAAAAACAGCATCACGGCGTTTTTACTATGCGATTACTTAGCGCCGGTCAAGCAAACATACAAAGGCAACGAAACACCGTGACGGTGCACTTTTGGCGTTTTTTGTTTGGCTCCATCGGATCCGGCGGCTGCGGTCATATCGTCCGTCTACGTTCTCTTCTCGCATTCACAAGTTGTCAAATACTGTTACTTTTTTGTTGTTTTAATTTTTAGGGAATATCGAAGAGATAGAGTAGAGGCACTGACCAGAGAAGCAGCACAATTGGCCCCGAAGCGGTACAGTCTTGAGCGAATAGTCGGCCTGCAAAGCGTTCGGCGAACGTACAGGAGCCTCTAGTTCCCCGACGACCTTCCGTGGACGAAAGCTACGACTCCACTGCCTCAGCGGAACCGTCAACACGTCAGTGTTCTTCTCCGGGGCTCTGGGGGGAAGGCTCCTTAACGTAGATGGACGCAAAAGTTTCTCGGAAACGTCGGGAAACGAGAGACGGAGCTCCCAAAGAGGATATCCAGTCTCTCGGCACTGACTATGGCCGTGGTTCTGCAGCCGTCAGTTCCCTTTTCTGCGGCTAATGCAGGTGTCGACAACTGGGCGTGTTATCTCCGAAGTTAGCGAATGGGATCTCCTCCGTTAATCTGAAGGGCGACTCCATTTTCTCTGGTTCGTTGGCATGGAATGGAAAAGAGAATCTTTGAAATGTGTGCTTCTAAAAATGTAAGATTTGCGTGTGCGTGTTTTTGTTTTTCTTTCCGGAATGTGCGAGAAGGAATTGATGTGGGACGTGAGCCTAGAATAAATACATTTATCTTTGTCGTTTTTTAAAAGAGCCTGTCGAGCCGAACTCAGCCGTCGGTCAGCACAGCTGCAGTGTTTTGGGGGAAAACAAAATCTGAAACGAGTTAGCATTAGTATGCGATGAAAAAGGTTTGAATCCCTCTACATGATTAAAACCGCACGCTAAAGCAATTATTCTCATCTTCCCGGTGAAAGTAGCGCGGGCAGAGAGAGCGAGAGAGAGATAAAAAAAGAGAGAGGGGGGAGAGGCTGATTAAAAGGCAGAGAGATTGTCCTCAGTGCCTGGCTCACGCTAATCTCCAAGAAGACTTACAAATGAGAAGTGAAGTTACCGAATTTAAACGAACTTTGTTCAAAAGCAGAAATTCGACGTGCGTCGTGTCGTTCTTACACCATAAAACTGTACACTTCAATCAATTTAATATTCATCCACTAACTCTGATGGAAAACAGGCGAAATAATTAAATATATTGGCAAGGATTTATGGTTCAGGTTACTAAGCAACATCGCAAACTTTTCTTTTATGCGGTAGTTTTATAAGTTTAATTAGGGTGTACTAGAATTGGGAGCCGCGTCGGTCTCTCCAGAAGAGCTGGGTGTGGTGTTTTGCCTAGAGCCACCAAATAAGCTACGCTTCTCGGTAATGACACTTTAGTTATCTGCTGCTTAAAGGGATGCTGAACCAAACGTTCCAGTGTTCATAATAAGTGGCACACCCGGTGTGCGCGAGCAAACGCAACGAAATAGACGTCGTAGTCCTCCATGTTCGCTCAAGATGGCAGTGAAATGTGTGGGCTCCAGGGAAAAGAACAATGACAGGCTTTTCATCTCCACAGTCGGGTCTGGTGCAAAAGGTAGGCGATTAATTGGTCTAACAAGAACGCTTTCACTAGTGAAGACGAAAATCCTATCTTTATTCTCCTTTAGCCTGGAGCCCATACATTTCATTGTGTCGTGCTACAACAGAAAAAATGGAGCAGAAGAGGAAAACGTCGAGGAAGCAGGCCGGAGGAGAAGGGGGAAAAAAAAAAAGAGGAAGAAGAGGGGTCTTGTTTGGCGGTAACCCGACCAGGTGGAAGCACACCCGGCAACGTCCCGAGGGTGCTACTGTCGGGTGAAACATCAGCTTGGCGGTGTGCAACCAAAGCGGCAACATCCGGCATGAACGAGGCATTCGGCAGCGATCCGAAGTAGCCGCTGGTGGGAAAGATTATCGACTTCGGCGGTGTCCCGGAGCAGAACATCCCAGACCAGCCTCAAGGAACACCCAAGGAACATCACTGGGAACGACTTCGGCGGTGTCCCGGAGCAGAGCATCCCAGACCATCAACAAGCAACAACACGCACCAACAACCAAGCGCTGCTGAAAACAAGACAGCACCAAGACCTTCAGCCACACAAGGACGGACTGAAAGTGAGACAATTTCTGACCTGTATATTTGTGTATAGCTAGAACGTTTCTTGTTTTTTGTTAATTTTTTTTAAATATATATATATCTTGATCAAACCTCACGGTGTGACTGAATTCCTCCTTCGGCGGTTTGACCTGAACCTATAACATCACAATTTGGCGAGCCTGCCAGGATACAAACCGCAGAGTGAGGAAAACCAGTTGTACCGGTGAACAGTTCCCAACAAGTTTGAAATGGATTTTGAAAAGATAATGGCTTTGGGAAGCTCCCTCGGACCAGTCTTGGGTAGTAACGCGTTACTAGTAACGCGTTACTGTAATTTCGTTACTTTTTTGGTAACTTGTAACTGTAACGAGTTACTTTTTTAAAATGTAACTTGTAACTGTAGTTCTATTACTTTTTTCTGAGGTAACGATGAAAGTAACGACGTTACTTTTGTCGTTACTGTCCAGTGTTTTATGAACAATATATTGCCGCGCGCAAGGCTGAGAAAGCAACGCTCGGTCACGGTCCTCCAGAAAGTTTCCGTTTATTCATGTACCGCACGTAACTTCTATCATTTATCCCTGCTTTTGTTTTCTAGAAAGTGCGTGTTCATTCTCGCCCCGATCCCGCGACGCTCGAACCGCTTTTGCCGAATCTTCGAGATAGCGGCGCACTCTAGATAAGAGGCCGCCCGCGACCTTGTCGAGTCAGTCTCGCCCCAGCGCTCGATTCTGCTGACACGCCGACTTCGACGCCCGCGACGCTCTGCTTTCTTCTGTTTCCTTCTTTATTTTTTGGCACAAGTTCGCCACATTAAACGTTTATTTCTTTCTGTTTATTTCCTGTTTTTTGTTTGGTCACCACCCGTGACAATATCACTGAACGAGACTCGACGTACAATTCAGATTTTCCTTGCACTTTTCAAAACGTCTATTCCGACATTTCGAGTGTCAAGTTTACCTTGCACAAACTTGTGAATTCGTCCTTTCTCACGAGTCACGACCCGCATATAGCCACGTGCAGACTTCATGAAAAAAAAATCTAGTTATCATTACGCACGCGCTTGAACTTTGTAACTGAACACTTAAGGCTCGTTCACACAGACCCATTTTCTTACGTTTGCGCTACGAAAAGTCACCGGAAAATGTGTGCTTCGTATTAAGCGTGGCTACCAGTTCAAGGAGATAGCCTGGCACGCGACATTCGAGACGCGAATGTTTCGGTGACTTAGATGTTACGTAAGAAAACGGTGCTGTGTGGAAAGTTGAACCAAGCTCAATTCCTTACGTTACGTTACGACATTGAGGCACCCTATTTACGACGAGCCTTGTGTCCTTGGTTGCCACAATAACTCACCGTCGTAGCCCGTCGTCACCGAAAAATTCGTGTCGAATGTCGCGTGCGAGGCTATCTCCTTGAGTTGGTAGCCACGCTTAATACGAACCACAGATTTTCCCATGACGTTTCGTAACGTAACGTAAGAGAACGGGTCTGTGTGATCCAGCCTTCTGTGTGTACGAGCCTTTACATCTTAGTGTCTTGAAGCACTATCTACGTCGTGGTTTTTCTTTTACACGCGGACGGCACTGCGCATGTTTCGCATTTTGATTTGCGCCACTACTCTGGCGTGGAAATTTTCAAACGCTAATTTTGAGAATCAACTTCTACCAAGTTACAATATGAAGTAAAAAGCGTACTTTTAATTTTATGCAATAAAACTTGGTGAAGGGCGTTTTCTAGTTTTTCCTACTTTTTTTGTGTTATAGAAAAGTAACTGAAAAGTAACGTCGTTACTTTTTAAAAGTAACTGTAACTAGTTACTCTTTTGTTGCGGTAACTGTAACGGTAACTTCGCTATCTTTTTCTGAAAGTAACTGTAACTGTAACGAATTACTTTTTAAAAGTAACTTACCCAAGACTGCCTCGGACTAACAAAAGAGGAAGCGTTGCATCTTTTGGAGGAGGAACGAAAGCGTGAGAGAGAGGAGAGAGTGCACGCTAGAGAAGATTCCAAACTCGAACATGAGAGGGAACAGCAGAAGGCTGAGAGGGAGAGGGAGGACGCCAGACTGAAAGCGGCAGATGAGATCACTATGATAGAGCTTAAGATCGAGCTCGCGGAAACAGAACGCGCCAGTGGAGCGACAACAGACGGAGGGAGCGAAGGTCAGTCAAGAGGACGAGCGTGCTTGAAGAAATTGATGCCGCCGTTTGACGAGAAACGCGATGACTTAGATGCCTACCTGCATAGATTTCAGAGGATTGCGGTAGGACAAGGATGGGCGAAGCAGGAATGGGCGACGTCCCTTAGTCTTTGCCTGGTGGGTGAAGCTTTAACCGCATTCGGGAGGATGACAGCAGCTGACTCCCTAGACTATGAGAAGGTTAAGATCACCTTGCTCCAACGATTCAGACTAACTGCAGACGGTTTTAGAGAAAAGTTCAGACGAAGCAAGCCGGAGGAGGCAGAAACTGGACGACAATTATGTACCAGATTGAGTAATTATTTTGATAGGTGACTCGAAATGGCGCAGACAGAGAAGACGTTCGAGTCAGTGAGGGACAGGGTGATTGCCGAACAGTTCCTTAGTTGCTGTCACCCTAAGCTGGCCATTTTTCTAAAAGAACGTAACGTGAACGCAGCGCAAGAAATGGCAGAGCTAGCTGACCAGTACCTGGAAGCCCAGGGAAAATGCAATCTGGGTGCTATGAAAGATGGGGGTTGTACAACAGTGAGACCAGACGGCGAGAACAGTAAGGGTACTGGACAAACGGGAGGAACCCGAAGACCATCGCCTAGATGCTTTCTGTGCAGTAAGGTTGGGCATAAGGCAACTGACTGTAGAAGCGGATATAGACAAAATCAGGCAGGAGTACGATGCTGGGAGTGCGGCAAAATGGGACACAAAGCTGGGCAGTGCGCCAATCACTCACAGAAGAAAGCAGCGTGTGTCCTGGATAAAAGACAGAAGGCATTGAAGAGGGACAACAAAGAACAGCAGGAAGCGATAACAAATACAAGATTTGAACACGTTAATGACGCTGACTTAGTACACAATATCGACATAATGATGCCGGTGGTCGAAGGGAGGTTACATGATATTAGGATATCAGTGCTGAGGGATAGTGGAACCAACACAGTAGTAGTAAGAAAAAGGCTGGTACGAAGTGAGGAGTTCACAGGGACATCCACTGGGGTTATCCTGGTTGACGGAACCATGAGGGTTATGCCTGAAGCGATAATCAACATAGATACACCTTATTACATGGGGGAAGTACGTGCCAAATGCGTAGAAGAACCACGGTATGACCTCATACTGGGTAACATCCCAGGGGCTAGAAAAGTGGACTGCCCGGATGCAGGGTGGGGCACAAGTACGAAGAAAATACGTCACCAGGGAGATGAAGTGTTTGGCGAAACGCCGTCTAATTCATTGAACAGCGTTACATCACATGCTGAGAACGACCGACTACTGCAAGAAATCGGGGAAAAGGAGGCGTTGAATGCAGAGCAGATTTATAACGAGTTTTTTTGTAGCAGGAGCAAAAAGAACGGTCAAAAGTGAAGAGAAACACTTGCCCCAGCTCAAGGCGCCGGTTATAGAGCTGCTAGAAGTCACAGCTCTTCAATTAACGGGGCAGCAAAAGTCGGATGAGAGTCTGCAGAGGTGTTTTAGAAGTCTGAATAAACGAGTGCGGAAATGGAGATGTGACGTAACAACGGAATACGTCGTGAAGGATGATTTGTTGTTCTGTCGAGTCGAATTCAGCGACGGGGACGTGAGACACCAACTCATTGTGCCAACGGTATTTAGAGAGACTGTAATGAACTTGTCTCACGATGGAATAATGTCGGGCCATCAGGGGGTAAAGAGCACGGTCGCTAGGGTAGCGGAAGAATTCTTTTGGCCTGGTATGCAAGGTGACGTGAAACGTTACATACGGTCTTGTGATGTGTGCCAACGCACTATACCAAAAGGCACCGTGAAAAAAGCCCCAATGATGAGTATGCCCATAATTGAAGAACCCTTCCACCGGGTAGCGATAGATATCATTGGACCAATAACCCCGAAGTCCAGCAAGGGAAACCGATATATCTTGACAACGGTTGATGTAGCCACGAGGTACCCGGACGCTGTGGCATTGAAAACCATTGATACCCCGCAGGTGGCAGAAGCTCTAGTCGAGATGTTCTCCCGGTACGGAGTACCTAAGGAGATTTTGAGTGATCGAGGTACGAACTTCACTTCCAATCTTATGAAAGAAATAGGACGGCTATTATCCTTTCGGTAGTTATTAACTACGCCATATCACCCAATCTGTAATGGGCTCGTAGAGAGATTTAATGGTACCATCAAGCAAATGATGAAGAGAATGAGCCAAGAACGACCCACGGACTGGGATAGGTATATCCCAGCACTCCTCTTTGCCTATAGAATAGTACCACAAGCTTCGCTAGGATTCGCACCATTTGAGATGTTGTACGGGCGAAATGTGAGAGGTCCTTTGACCATCCTTAAGGAGCTGTGGTCCAATAAAAGCTTAAACCAGGAGTTAAAAACATCATACGGATACGTGATCGAACTCAAGGACAAACTGAAGAAAACATGTGAAGTGGCGCATGAGATCATGGCGGAGGCGCAAACAAAACAGAAAAGGTTCTATGACCGGAAAAGCCAGGCTCGAAGGTTCGAGCCAGGCGACAGAGTGCTCATACTGCTACCCAGTGACCACAACAAACTAACCATGCAGTGGAAGGGACCGTACGAAGTTGCGAGGCGAAAAGGCGATTTAAACTACGAACTGCTGGTGGGCGACAAAAGAAAAACGTTTCACATAAACATGTTACAAAAATACGTAGGTCGCGAAACTAAGAATGAAAGTTGTGGGGTGATGGTGGTCCAGGATGAGGTTGAAGACTTAGGGGAGATCACGACGCCCAGTTTAAAAAGGCAACAGGGTGCGCAGGATGTGGTCATCAATCCTAAATTAAGTCAAAAGCAAAAGAAAGATCTTGCTGACGCGATCGGGGAGTTTGAAGATATATTCTCTGACGTACCGGGCAGAACAAATGCATTGCAATGCAAACTTCGATTGATGACAGAAGAGCCGGTGTTTGTAAGGCAGTATCCGTTGCCTTTTGCCATCCAGGACGAGGTGGAAGAAGAAGTGGAAGAGATGCTAAGATTAGGCATCATCGAACGATCCACGTCCGCCTACAACGCACCCATAATAATGGTAAAAAAGCCTGATGGCTCTAATAGACTTTGTGTTGACTTTCGGCGATTGAACGCAGTCTTAGTAGCTGACGCTGAACCTATACCAAGGTCGGACGTAGTGTTTGCAAGAGTCGGGCAAAAAAAAAATATTTTTCTAAATTGGATCTAGCATAGGGGTATTGGCAGATACCGATGGAAGAATCAGCCAAAGAAAAGACTGCCTTATCTACAAGAACGGGCCTTTACCAATTCCGGTTTATGACTTTCGGAGTGAAGACGGCTGCTGCAGTGTTTACCAAGTTGATGAGGTCCGTCCTGGAGGGGGTGCCCAATGTACATCATTACATTGACGACATTTTGGTGGCCACTGACTCGTGGGAAGACCACTGCCAAACATTACGGCAAAGTTTTGAATGTCTCAAGAGGAATCATCTCACGGTTAAGCCAAACAAATGTGAGGTGGGGTTTGACGCGATAACATTTTTTTAGGTCACAAGCTTGGTATGGGCCAAATCGCACCGAAGAGGGAAATAATAGAAAAGATTCAACAAGCATCGGCGCCAAAGACAAAAAAACAGGTGCGAGCCTTTCTAGGTCTTACAGGGTATTATAGAGAGTTTATACCCCGTTATGCAGAGATAGCAGCCCCACTTACTAACCTCACAAGGAAGGGACAAAGTAACACAGTAGAATGGTGCTCTGAACATGACACAAGCTTCAAAGAGCTTAAAAGAAGGCTGGCAGAACCACCCATTTTGTTAGCGCCCGATGTGTCTAAGCAATTTGTCCTGCGTACGGATGCATCAGACGAAGCTTTGGGAGCAGTGCTGTTGCAAGAGCACGAGGGCATGCTGCACCCAGTGTTATATGGCAGTAGAAAACTTAGCGCGAGCGAAAAGAACTTTGCGGCTATGGAACGTGAATGCCTCGCACTCGTGTGGGCAATTGGTAAATATGCTATTTACCTGTACGGAAAGGGATTCGTAGTTGAGACGGACCATCAACTGCTAGAATATTTGAATAAGACGAAACTCAACAACGCGTGGGTAATGAGGTGGAGGTTATCTCTGCAAGAGTTTACATTTAGGATTAAGTATATAAAAGGCAAAGACAATATCGGGGCGGACTACTTGAGCAGAGTTTGATCGACAAAAAGGGGTAGGGTGGAAATTTTTTTTGTAGATATGATAATATTTATACGCATGATGGAAGTATACCGTGATACAGTAACCGATAGAAGTGCTTTAGCGGCGGCAGTGATATGCAGCTGATGTGCTGGTGTAGCTGAAATTGTGAACTGGGTGCGGGCCAGATATAAAACGTTCAGGGTGTGAAAGTGATGCGCAAACTGGTGAATGAACACAGAAACGTAAAAAAAAAAAAAAAAAAAAAAAAACGGGGATGATGCATTAACGTGGTGTAGAAATTTAGTACGACTAAATTCTGGAGGAGGGGGTAAATGTCGTGCTACAACAGAAAAAAATGGAGCAGAAGAGGGAAACGTCGAGGAAGTAGGCCGGAGGAGAAGGGGAAAAAAAAAGAGGAAGAAGAGGGGTCTTGTTCGGCGGTAACCCGACCAGGTGGAAGCACACCCGGCAACGTCCCGAGGTGTGCTTCCACCTGGTCGGGTGAAACATCAGCTTGGCGGTGTGCAACCAAAGCGGCAACATCCGGCATGAACGAGGTATTCGGCAGCGATCCGAAGTAGCCGCTGGTGGGAAAGAGTAACGACTTCGGCGGTGTCCCGGAGCAGAACATCCCAGACCAGCCTCAAGGAACACCCAAGGAACATCACTGGGAACGACTTCGGAGGTGTCCCGGAGCAGAGCAACCCAGACCATCAACAAGGAACAACACGCACCAACAACCAAGCGCTGCTGAAAACAAGACAGCACCAAGACCTTCAGCCACACAAGGACGGACTGAAAGTGAGACAATTTCTGACCTGTATATTTGTGTATAGCTAGAACGTTTCTTGTTTTTTGTTAATTTTTTTTAATATATATATATCTTGATCAAACCTCACGGTGTGACTGAATTCCTCCTTCGGCGGTTTGACCTGAACCTATAACATCACAGATTGTCACCTTAAGTGTGAATGGAGGACTATGACGTAAATTTCGTTGGGTGTGCTCGCGCACACCAGCGGCTGTCACTCTCCGTTCACTTTTAAGCTGAGACTAGAAGCTCCGCCTTCAGCTCGAGCTTTCTGTCCTTGTAACAAACTAAAAAAAAAAGGGTATCACGTACCTTACACCCTTTGTCCCATATAATACACCATAAAGCTTCATTTCGACGTACAGCGCCCTATAGTCGAACAAACAGTCCCAAATTTTACGAGCGGGTTGATAACGGTGCGATATAACTTATTAAATAGCTAAAGTACGCATCAAAGACCACATAAAGAAAAACATTGAGTTTTTGCAGTAGGGCCAAGAAAACCCCGGGTATTTTTTTTTTTTTTGTAGTCTGTAACACGTACGTTAGCTATTTGAATAAGTTGTACCACACGACTATTAAGCCCCTCGTAAAATGTAGGGCCGTCTGTTCGACTATAGGGCGCTGTACGTCGAAATGAAGTTTTGAGGTGTATTATATTGGACTAAAGGTGTAACAATACACCGTTGTACACCCCTTTTTTTAGAGTGCACAAGTGTGAACGCGCAAGCACAGGCAACCAAAGTATCGGGTGTCCCAAATAGCGGCCAGGCTCTTTAAATCGACCGCAAAATTTGGTTTTTTAACCTATCGCGCTACGAGTTTGTGCAGCGTTACTTACAGATGGTGCATTTGTTTTGTAAAATTTGCAAAGATCGAACTTACCTGAGGTAAAAGTTAAGAAAGAAAAAGGATCCCTATGGAAACGCAACGAAGCAGCCAGTCTTCAAATCATACGGCGCCGTTTCACACGGGAGACAAGATATGGCGCAAACCGTTTCGACGCTAACTTCCGCCAACGAACAAGCATACGGCGCCCAGAGCCGGCGTCATTAGCAGATGATCGTTTCGACTCGAAAGCGGCGCTCGTCCCTCAGCGGCGACAGTCGCAGACCCAAAACAGGTGCGGTAACAAGGAACTGCAAAGCAGACGACATAGGTACTCCGAAAGAAACAAAAGCAAAAAACAGTCACAAGATCCCGACAAATCATTTTTATACGACTATGTGTCCATTCAATGTGTTTTATTAGTAAGAATGATAAAATAATGCATATGCAGCTGATATCAAAAAAGCTCGCGCCGCTTTTGAGTCGAAAAGATCGTCTGCTAATGGCGCCGGCTCTCGGCACCGTATGCTCGTTCGTTGGCGGCAGTTGGCGTCGCGACCGATTGCGCCATATCTTGTCTCCCGTGCGAAACGGCGCCGTACTGTTTGAAGACTGGTGACTTCGCTGCGTTTCCATGCAAAATGCAAGTTTTGGAATTTTTAGAGGCATACATCTATGCATTCCAAGTATGTGCTTGTAATGCATCCGAGATGCTTCATTTTTTCATTGAATTGAGGAATGTCTCGTCTAGTTTCGTGAATCCGTGTTTTTCCTAATTAGCGCGCACTCACAGTTTTTAATATTTATTCAAAAAGAGCCTTTTTTATGCTACTTTGAAGTGTCGTAACTCAGTTTCACCTAATAAGGCAGTCACGACGTTTAAAGGAATGCTCTTGGTAAACATATGAACTCAGCATACAAAAATATTAGAGTGCAACTCCAGCAGTTGTTTTGTAAACACCGCTTGATTGAGGCAAAATTTCAAGAAATTCCCTTAACGCGTTCGTGGTTCTCTCAGATATGGCTTTGACATCTGATCTCATTTATTTTTAATTGTATGCTAGAGGAACTGGGCTGATTCTCTGTAACGCTGTTTTTTTTGTTTGTTTTTAAATTTCGATTAGCTTTAAAAAGTTTTAAATTGAGGGACTATTTTCAAGCTTGACTCTGTACGCAAGAAACCGGTTTCAGAGAAAAGGACAGCTTTCTAAGCAACGATTCTTTATTTAGAGCTTTTCTCTTTGTAATTAAAATCACTTTCTATGATTGTAATGTTTTTAAAGCATACTAATTATCTGAAATCATAAAAATGACTTATGTGGCAGCAGACGGCGCGCACTTGCGCCATCTTTTGAAAGATGGCAGTAATTCGAGGTTGAGAAGTTCCGGAAAAGTGGCGCTGATTTTGTCCCTGGCGCAGAGGATTCTCGTCTCAAATTCCAGGTATGGCATACCTGCGGGGCTCATCGGCGACAACGGTCCTTAGTTCGCCAGTGCTCAATTTGTCGAGTTTGCTACTCAGTGGCAGTTCAGTACACCTTAAGCCCAGGTCATGCCCAATCTAACGGAATGCTTGAATCGTCTGTCGAAACTGCAAAGTTGTTTCTCAAGAAGGCCTTGGAGAGTGGTTACGATCCACAGTTATCTTTTCTGGATCACCGCAACACCCCATTCTAAAGCAAAAAGGCAAGCCCACCACAACTACTGATGGGCAGGACTCGGACGACAATACCGACAACAAATGCACTCCTAAAATCACGTACTGTAAAAAAAAAAAAAAAAAAAAATACAGAGTGGAATAACAAGACAAGACGGATACTAGATTACCACAACAAGACTGCGAGAGAACTCCCAACTCTGAAGAAGGGGGACGCCGTCAGAGTTCATTCATTCACCCCTGGATCACAATGGGGAAAAGGTACAGTCATGGAACCTGTGACAACCAGATCATACAACGTAAACATCCACGGAAAAACACTGAGAAGGAACAGGGTACATCTACGACAAGTTCCTGCACCTGGCCAAATGGCAGCAAGCCCCGTGTAGAACCCAACAACTTTGCAAGAGGTAACTACTGGCACAGACGCTGCTGATACAGCATCAGAGCCAGCACCATTCACAATGCAGGAATCAGCGAGCAGTCAATCACCAAAGACAGCAGATGCTCAGAAGGACAGCTCACAAGAACCATCGGTACAGCGCACACCCCGACCTGTTAGGAAAAACCTGTTACCGCGACACCTAAGTGACTTTGTAGTTTCATAGTTGAAACTGTCTTTTTTCCCTCAAAGAAAAGAGGATGTTACAATATATTATGGTTTCATTTTGACTTTGGTTTTGGAGCGCTATCATCATCATGATTCGACACTAGAACATGGCGGTCCAGTGCAGATGCTGCCTCGTGGGTCTCCTAAAAAAGACACACAAAACAGTCCCAACAGCCTCTCGCCACCGATTTGTTTCATAAAGGAGGAGCGCAAAAAACGTTCAGCATGATTTCTTGCCTATGCTGATGCCTGTGCCGTAGAGACGCGCTGTCTCTTTGCGTATGCCGAAGCGGCACGCTTTCCAAGCTTATGATTGCGTGATGTAAATACAGTGAGTTAGGATGTCACGTTTTTTAGCGGCCGGCGAAAGCCGCTACAAAAAGCAGAGTATTTAGAAAAAGAAAAAGCATGAAAAATTGCGAAAATAACCTGAATATTCGATGGAGTTGAAAAACTACCAACGTACCAACTCGCCCAGTTATTCTTTCTGTGAAAGAATAATAGTCAATAGTAATAAATAAAATAAATGCCAACTTTTAATTGGTCACAAATTTGTAATTGATGCAGTACAGCCCTGCCCTGCTCTATTGATTTTATGATATCAGGTAATGTGTAGATGTGTAAGATAGCTCATAGCAGGCATTTATGTCCGACCCATTATATTGAATAGTTTCTCTAAAAGCTTGAAGGTTTATAAAAAAGTGTTCATAAATTAAGCCCCACCACTTAATGTACCGTAGCCTGTGACTTGTATGTATGTTCTCAGCAAAATAAAAATATGCTTTAGAAAAAGCTAATCATTTTGTTTCCTCTGTGTTAGAGCTTCTTTCAGGTACAGGCAAAATGCGTGTGTCTATACGCATAAAAGAGTGGTATGGAGATTTTCCATAGGGCTGCAGGCCTGGCTCAGTTTGACTAGCAGATTGCAACATATGAGAACCTGGGGAACTGCATCCCAAGAGTAAAAGTAACGTCCGCTCACTGATCTATACTATAGGGGGCTAGATGGTGCGTCGAGCAGACAGGCATGAAGCCACCGGGAGTAAGCGGCTTGTCCCGGAAGCGAGCGCTTGACGGGATTTTCAACTCTCCCGACTGCTGGTTCGAACAGC